GGGGCTCAGTGTGGCCAATCTTTAGTTAACAGGGAGAAAACATAAACATGTACTTTTTCTTTGAAAAATACGCTCCATGGGGGAAATAGAAGCGAACGCAAAGGAAAAGCACCCCCAGCATCTGCCTGAATGCCCCAACCCTGAGTGTGGGGGTCATGCGATGCACGATGGTGGGTTCGGCCAGAGCAGCTCTCCATCACGGTGCATCTCTGTGGGAGGCGGTGCAGGGTGAGCTCCCCCGGGGGCTCTGGAGCCGGAGGCCTGGGTTAGAGGCCCCTTCATCACGCCCTCCCCCGTCAGCTCAGGAACTCTGGGGCGCAGGCCTGGGGCCGGGGGCTGAGGGAGCAGGGTAGGGTTCTCACTTGTTGTGGCGATTAGTGGATATATGAAGAGTACTGAGAACGCCAGGCATTGGCTAATTCCTTTTAGAGAAGCGAAAGCACCCGCCCCCAGCCTTGTATTCTTCTCTCATTCTTATGACAGACCTGCACAGTGGCTCTGGTCACCCAGTGGTGTGAACAGAGAGGGGAAGTGACCACCCGAGTCCACGGTCGGCAGGCGTTGGCCCCAGGAGGGAGCGGTCCTGTGCGTGTTTCCCTGGAGCCCGCCTTCCCTAGCAAAGACCGGGCCTCGCAGATCTGCTGGTCAATGTCCCGTGATCCCACTAAAGCCTGTGGACTTAAGCGATCGTTCAAAAGTCCTCCTGGAAAGAATATGCTGAAGGATTTTTAAAAGTGGCCGTCTTCAAAGACTCCTTAAGGACGGCTTAGCCCAGGCGTGCAGTAGTGTCTGGGTGCGGCACAGCTGGCACTCAGCCAGGGCGCAGGCCCGGCGCTCCAACCTCCGATAGTGACCACAAGTACACACTCAACGGGGCCGTCAGATGCCGTTTCCGGGGTCAGGCGACCAGCCAGGCTGAGGGTCTGCAGGCAGGTCCCGCCCGGCGACGATGGGCAGGTGCTGAGCCTGCCCCCAGGAAGGGGTCCTGTGTGGACAAGAGACAGTGCTGCGTCTCCTTTTCCAGGGATTTATAAAGATCTGCAACTGACACGGTTTTCTCTGGTCAAGAAAAGGGAGAAAGAAGAAGGATCGGGTGTGGCTGGCTAGTGTGATGGCAGCATGTGGTTTATCTGGGCTTCTTTCAGTTTGTTTCTGTGATGTGTCACGTTGATGTGCGAATATTGTACCAGCCTTGCATCCCTGGAATAGATCCCACCTGATCGTGGTGTAGGATCTTTTTAACGTACTGCTGGATGCGAGTTGCTAATATTTTGTTGAGAATTTTAGCATCTGTGCTCTTCAGGGATATTGGCCTGTAATTCTCTTTCTTTGTGTGTCTTTATCTGGTTTGGGGAGTAGGGTAATGCTGGCTTCATAGAAAGAGGTTGGAAGTGTTCCTTCCTCTTGGATGTTCTGGAATAGTCTGAGGAGGATAGGTGTTAGTTCTCCTTTGAATGTTTGGTAAAACTCCCCTGTGAAACCGTCTGGACCCAGGCTTTTGTTTGCTGGGAGTTTTCTGGTTCCTGCTTCTATTTCATCAGTTGTATTGGCCTATTCAGGTTTTCTGATTCCTCCTGATTCATTTTCGGAGATTGTGTGTTTCTAGGCGTTTGTCCATTTCATCCACATTGTCCAGCTTGTTGGCCTGTAGTTGTCCATATCTGGACTTGGATAGGGGCTTTTCATACACAAGGAGAAACACTTGAACCTACTTAGCCACCTGGGCTATTTTTAAAAACCTAATCTTATGTTTTCTGCTGGAGAAATAAGTTGGCAACAAGCCTCAGGCCTCTCCTGAGTCCTGATAGTGGCCCCCTCATTTTGTGGGGTGGTTGTGAACTTACCCATAATTCCAGCGTTTCCTCACCACTCCTCACTATTTGAATACAATAGCAATGAGCTGCCTCTCACACATGATGCGTGAGGTGGACGTGTCTACATGCTTCCTCTTAATAGAACATTGTCCAGGAAGATGAGTAACCATTTCCGTCCTGGCGTGAGGGGCGGCGAGCCTGATGTCTGAAGTTTGGCCTGCCCTTGAGGACACCTTGATCAGCTTGGTTTTCTTCTTTGTCCAAATCAAATTATCTTTTTTATTTCATGCTCACCTTGACCAGGGTTTCCATTAATCAAAAGAGCCTTTAGAAAAATGAACACTCACTCGAAAATAGCGAACAACGGCTGATTGGAAAACCATGGCCGGCGTCCAATTCCCTCGCCCGCCCGTCCAAAGTCGCCCACTCGGGTCCGCACAGAAATGACCCGGCCTGAACACGAAGGGGGCGCGTTGCCCGTGCACACGCGTGTCTGGTCGTGCTCGGGAGCGATAAAGTGGATGATGGAAAGCATCTGCCATCGCCGCTCTCCTCGCCAGTGTGGAAAAGCAAGAATCACTGGTCATATCCTCAGAGCCCTTCTATTTTTCATAACCCAGTCAAGTGGGCAGAAAAAGCAAGGTTTTCCAAGATCTGTAGACCATACGCTGCTTTTAGAAAATAATGAGAATTAAAGAAGGAATTCACATGGAAAACAGAAATAGTACCTGAGACTTACAGATGCTTGTCCTTTGCCCTTCCCCTGGGATCTGCCAGCCCCGAGAGCAGCGTGTAGTCGGTGGGTCCCTTCTGCCGTCTGTCCTGTCATGGGGGAGGAGCGAGTCCTGGTGAGGAAGCAGGATGGACAGTCCGATGAGGCTCTCAGCTCAGCTCTCCGACGCCCCGGCACTAAGCCGTGCCAGCAGGAGACCCGGGGAAAGTGGTGACAGTGTCCTGGCTGGTGGCGTCCCTGAGCAGCTCAGGCTGATGGAGAAGAGTCTGCCCTGGGGACCATTCTAAGGGGGTCCCTCCCCGCAGGCGTCCGCCCGCTGAGGCTCACTGCTCACTCCTGCCTCTCAGACCAGGCGCCCTTGAGGCCACTGCTCACCGCCTGGTGGACAGCGCCTCCTGCAGGAAATAAAGCTTCCGTGATAGGAGGAAGCGGGCTGGCTTTCCTAGCAGGACACGGGCTTACAGTAAGCGAGGGTCTTCATGGACGAGTGGCGACTTCGACTG